CCTATGATCTAGCTTCTATGTTTAGTTCTTTGCTTATGTTGAAAACATTGTTGTACTTCCTATTTTCAAGACTTCTTATTGATGTAAGGGCTAAGTCCCATTTTCGATACTTCTATGTCTAGATGGTGCGTTTTGACGAAGTTAGATTCTATTTTTCATATATGAAGTGAAGTTGAACTTCCAAAGCAATAGTTTTAAATTTTCCGTGATTTTATTCTACGATACATGTTATGATGAATTCTAAGGGCTTGTATAAGACCTCTTCGAGGTCGAATACACTGGTAACGACTAGGGGGTGCTCTCAGGTCGTTACAGGTTTGTAGTCCATTAACAACTAAAACAACAAAAATACAACGATACGAATATAGGGAGATGGGATTCTTGTGATGTGAAAGGAATATGGGATAAACTACACAATCGGGTAAATGCTATTGATAGTCAATTGTTGAACATTTGTAACTAGGCTAGACTTTAGTGGGGGTAAATTCTCTCTCGAGCAACTTACCCCGAATCAACTTGGTTTCTCTCGAACACCGAGTTGCCGCTTTTAAGCACAGCCTCCGCCTTAGCACATTCACTCTCTCGAGCTGAATGTGTGGGAAAAGGCCTAGGATTCACGATCTCGAGCTGAACCCACGACGACCCAATAACCACTGATAATTAGCAGATTGGGCAAGCTGTCCCATCCTGATCAAGGATGCCTGAGTGATCGACCAACAGGAGGCAACAACAGTAGTAGGTCTGGGTGGTAATGAAGCAGTAGAGGGACCTGGAGGGTCAACAGGAGTGGTAATGGCATCAGATATACCTGAAGGCCCAGGGGACGAAGTTGGCCACAACTTCCTTCTGCTTCTTTTCCGCTTGGTCCTTAAGATATTTGGCTTCGATCTTTTAGATATTGGTGGAGGCAGTGGCAACTAATTCCACATCCTTCTTTACATCTCTAGTCACCTGAGCTCTTTTGCACAATGCAGTTCAGGGTAGCAAGCAACAAGTCCAGTCAACGAATTGCAAAGAAGGTCGCCGAGAACGACCTAATCCGCAGTTTGACTCAAGACATATTCAAATCAGAGTCTATGAAATTCGGAGAGCCTAAGAAATTAATGGTGAGTCACCGATCAGGTTGGCGACCCCGACGTAGATCGTCGTTTGGACAACCATTAACTGGAGGTCCAGTAAAACTCGGCGGAACGCCGAGTGGTTCAGGGATCATGACTTATATCTCCGACTGGGCGAGAACTGAACAGTTTTTTGGGCCACACATTTAAAATTCTAACTCATTCACTTTCCCTCACTTTTTATCTGCCCAAACTCACACCTGCACTCCAGTTTCTATATTTCTTTGGTTGTTAGAATATTATTAGTGTTGGTTATTGAGTTGTGCTCGGAGTTGGATTGCATTGCTTCCTAGAATCTCAATTTCACCTTAATCGGCACCAAAGGTTGGTTTCCAAGCCTTAAGCTTCTTGTACTGAAAGTTGTACTCAAATGAAATGACATTACTTTGATGATGTGTACTGGGCCTCTCTGGTAGCATTAGAATATTTGTTTGCCTGTTAGGTTCACAAATTTTACCCGTACTAAGTTAATAGTTAAATCCTGAAGGTTGCGCTTTAAATTGGATGAAAAATCATGGGTGGTGCATGATTGTCACTAGGTCTATGCCTAATTTGAGTTGTGCATGCCTTAATTTATTTTCTGGGGTTGCGGGGTTGAATTTGGGAAGTTGGGTCAAAAGCAGGCATGTTGGGTCATTTGGCGAGCTGTGTCGAGCTTGTCGAATCACTTGACTGTTAACCTAAAATCCCTACCTCGCCTTTAATTTAATGCTAAATATGATGTTGAATTCTATAACTTTCGGCGAGAAGCATGATGTCGCCAAACGGTTTTGATGTCTCGCTGAAAGACTTCTGGTTCACCTTTTGTCTGCACCCGTGTATTCTCTATGCACTACACTCGTCCAACCGCCTAAATAGTTGCGCGCTTCGCCAACTGTTTCAGCGAAGTGATTCGGCAATTGAACTGCCTTTCTTTTGTTTGAATACTTTCTAACTTTTCCTTGAAGCTTTGAAGAAATGGTTACACCAAAAGTAGCTGGAAGAGATATGCCACCCTGACAAAGAAGAGCGAAAAATTTCACGAAAAATAGAAAGGCAACAAATCCGCCTAATGAGGGCAAGACGCCCAGTGCCAGCAACAGAACAAATCCCCGACACCTCACTATTCCCCCGTGGTGACGTGGATTCTTCACATCTATCCAGTCCTTTTTGGCGGCTCATGACTTGGACAATCTTAGTAAGTCAGCTTCCGCTGAATCTTTTGAAGAAGCTCCGAGGGCCATTATCAAATTCCAGGCTGACACATCGGGCATTGATTCCCAGACAAATGGAGCGACTGTGTAAACATGATTTTTCTCTACCTCCCTCTCTGTCTTACCTACTTTCACTTTTTGGATACTTTTATTTCATTTGCATTTTGAGGACACATACTTTTTAATTTTGGTGGGGTGAGGCTCACCTTCTATGTGCTATTTGTGACTCGTGTTTTTGTGTATATATTTGGGCTGTTCTGTTTAAAAATTGTGTTTGATACACTGTTTTGTGGAGGTTTGAGCTTGTGGCTCCGTGTTTCAAATTGCCAAATGATTTTGACCTTTCCAAAAAATTTTGCCACCTTTCGTGTGTTAAATGTGGTTGTTCTGTTGCAAAATTTGAGTCTCAGTTTCGATCAATACCGATGACTTGAATAGTGCTCTCAATCGAATGAACATGAATGTGTGGTCTATGATGAGGCCAAATGACGTTGCATAGACAATATGTGAACTCTTTGCATCTCGTTATGACTAGCCTAGTATCGAATTGAGTCTCTTGTGATGATGGAGTCTTGTTTGACTTATAGTGTCAATGTCTAGTGTGATGAGCTTACCTGTGAACTATGCATGATGGATCCTAGAATTTTCCCCATTGGTCCGGTCAATTAAGAGATGCTATCTCTTGATATGATCTTAGGCAACTTCTAAGAGTGTGAGCCAATTTGATAAATACCTCTTTTTGTGACCTATCACAAGTGTGAATCGCTTTTGAACACCCCTTTACCTTACCTTACTTTGGAAGAAACTTGATGAAAACAATGACCTTTCTTTATCCATCACCCATAATCCTCATGAAGTTGTGGTTAATTAAATAGCCAACTTAGGCCAAAAGCCTAAGTTGGGGGTGAGGTGAAAAGAGAAGGAGAGTCAAGAAGTGCAAGGAAAGTCTCCTTTAACCCATGGTGTTGAGAAAAATGGAACTCCTCCATAAAAAAAAAAGAGAAAAAGAAAAAGAAAAAGAATGAAAAAAGAAAGTTGTGGAATAAAGTACAAAAGAAATGGGATTTCCAAACAATTCATGGAAAAGTGAATAATAGGATGACTTATAAGCACTAAAAAAAATTGATGAAGGAAGAAGAAAGGAAGTTATGTGAGTACCACATTTCATGAGGATGAAAGTCACTGAGCCTAATTGGCCATACCTTTGCACTTAGCCCCATTACAAGCCTTGAAAAGACTTTCTTGATCTTGATTGAGCTGAATCAAGTGTTGATTGGAAAAAAAGGGCAAACCTATGCGTGAAAGTATGCATCGTGTTCATCTTTGTGAGTGTGAGCATTGCATTTGATTTCGAAGCATTAAATTGCAAACCATGGAATTATTCCTTGTGTGAGGGGATTTGAATACTTTGGTTGAGCTTGAACTTGCATTTGAAGCAAGTATTGTGAGCATGAGATTCTTTGATATTGGTAAGTCATAACTTGAATCTTTGAGTGCACATTTGATCTTTGCATAAGTAACACTACAAGAAACAGGATTTATTGTGGCAATATTTAGCGGCGAGCCTATTTGTTGCTACAAAAGTTATATATTCAGTGGCGACATATGAAGGCGTCGCAGTAGATAAACATTTAGTGGCGAGTTATGTTAACTTGCTGCTAATAGTCATTGCTAATTCTCAATTATTTGTTCCCGCAAATACCAAAATTTTGGCTCCAAATTCTTCAGTGGCTACATCTAATTTGTCGCATCTAAATGAATTTTGTGGCGACATGACCGCTCCAAATAAGTCAATTCATTAATTAAACATAAAAAGTTAAAAGAAAACAAATGAAAATATCTGATAAAAAAATACACACACAACTTTTCTCTCCAAATACTCTTCTTCTCAAATTTTCGCTTCATTTCTCTCCATTAGCTCAACTTTTCTTAGGGATTCTTCAAATTGTCACTTTCAAATCTGTTAAATCGCTTCTCATTTCACAAAATGTGAACTCTATTTAGGTAAGTGCTCAAATTTCTTTCAGATGGTATTTTTTCCCCCTAATCTTACTTCTATTTCTTTAACCCATTCATAAATCTGTAGCAGATTCAAGTGTTTTGAAGTTTTAAGGCAAAAGGATCTCGAAAATCTACAGAAATCAGAAGTTGCTGGAAGGTTTTAAGAAGAAAGGTTCGAAGTTTGATTATCACTACAAGATTTTGATGTTTTCGAAGTTTTGAAGTTGTTCAAAGGCTTGTAAGGTGCCACTCATGTTAACTCTCTATTTATTTTTCATATTTTGTCGATTCTGAATCTTCACTATTGTTTTTGAGCTATCTCTTTCTCTGGGTTTATTGAAGATTTTGTTTTGAAATTTTAGATCTGTAGATATTGTAAAGTAACTGCATGTTCATATTGATGTCGAAAATTGTACAAAAAATGTTGTTTTAAAAGAAAATTGTAGTTCTAAGTGTGTTGTTATTATTTCAATAGAACTCGATTTCTGTATATATATGTTAATTTGTTTGAAACCTTCGAAAAAGTTTCAAGAGTTTGTAATCTTTTCCCAGACATAAAAGCTTGTTGGTGATTTGGTTTACTGAAGCTCTTGAAGTCTTATTTTTTCAGCTGAACTATAATATTTTCCTTAATTGGAGTTCTTGTTGGTTAATAAGTGGTCTACCATAAAGAAAACCATCGTACATCCTCGTGTTTGGGCAACTCAGTATGTTGAGCTCTTGATCTTACTAGATTAGATTAACTAAAGTGAAATATAGACACAAATGACTTAAGAGTATGAGGTCATGGCCGGCTAAATCTGCTTGTATGTAACTTTAGTAAATGGCCTTGAAATGAAGTTCTAATGGTTTTGTTAGTTCTGGAATGTTGAGTTTTTTCTAGAATTACCTTTGTTTGGGTCTCAAGGCTTTCAAATTCATTTCAAGATATCTTCTTACTTATAGTTAAAATGGAGCCTTGGGTGTGAGACCTACTTTTGTCGAGACGACCTCCCCTGAAAGTTTTGTAAGTTACATTAAATCCAGAATTTTATTTCTAATTGGGTAACATATTTGGTTTACGTTGGTGGGACCCCGAATTATTTTCGGAGGTCCGATTGAAACTTGGAATTTGAATCACAAGAGCTAGTGCAACACCTGCTGGTGCAGCTGCTCTTGCGGAACCAAGGCTCGATCCTACAAAGAAGTGGTTGCACATGCGAAGGTGACCAAGTCACCAAACCTCGACCCTGTGAAGTCGTGGTCGCAACTACAACCTCGCCTATGGATCCAAAGTCTGTAATACTAGATTGTATATGTGTAAAACAAATTGCTAGGGCCAAGGGGCTTCTCTGTTTCAGAATTGAGGGGAATCTATCTTCTCTTACAGGAGAGTATTAGGAATTTTTTTGTTATAAATGTGAGTGTTCATTTGTTGTATGGCTTCTAAAATTCACTGTAAATCTATATTACAGCTTACTTAAAATATCATGCAGGCATTTGGACAATATTTGGTTGAAATTTAAGAGTAGTTTGCAGTGAACATGTTGATTATGAGATAGCTGCAGTAAAAAAAAAAGCATTATGAGTATGTCTGATTTTCCTGAAATTCGTCAAACAAGATGTTGATGTTGACGCTATTCAAATTCAAAACTCTAAAATCATGGGTGAATTCAGAACCTATTACTAGACTAGCGTGTGATGATGAAATAAGAACTTGTTCCTTGCAACAAATGGAAATACTTTTTTGCTTATGATATTTGTTTGCATTCACCGAACACATAGATTCATGACACATAACTGTACTCTCTGCTAAATTAAACCTACCCTTTTGCAATCTTAAGTTACCAGATAAACAGATCCATAAGATTGAACATCAGGAGTACTATTCGTAACCTTTTTATCCTCGCATTGGTGACCATGAATTCTTAGTAGTGTTATTTATTGCTCCAAGTAAAAAAAATCCAAGTGCCTTCAGAAGAGTGAATTGTAACTGCTTTAGCATTTCCTTGAACCCCTGCACCTCAAGAACTGTTATAGGTTGACCAATCCTTTCATTGACATACATGACATTTTAAAAGTCTCTACTAAGAATTCATGGTACTTGTATAGAAGCACATATAGTCTGTAAAGTTTGCCACGAGCTCTCTTTGACTTTGCTCATTCTTTGCATACACACTAGTGACAATAGCTGAGAAGTTATTACCTCGCCTACAGAGTCAGTCAACACATTTATTCTCGCATTGGTGACCCATTTTCTACTTTGTCATAGCGACAATAACAACAATCAAGTCACTAGTGTGTTCTTCTTTATTTCATTTTTTTTATTGTGGAAGTGGGAGAGAGATTTACTTGTAAATTTCTTGTGGAATTATGTACATTTAGTGGAGAGTAGCTTGGGGACATCGTAAATGATGTTTTTCACTCTCCTAAATCCACTAGACCTCGTTTAGATTCAAATTCTTGATATTTATGTTGTATTGTTACTTTTAACTACTTACTTTCTTTTAATATCCTCACAACTTATGTTCCTTTTTTGTTTTGCTGGATTTTTCAGGTCATTTTCCAATCAATCTTGGCCGGATTGTGGTCTACATCTTTCTAGCAAACTTTGATATTTGTGTGTTCTTTGATTTTCAACATTAGGTACGCCATAGCAAGATCACTACTCATTTAATTTTCAATTCTAGTCATAGCCTCATTATTGATATTTTTTACTTTATTTATCCAGATTTCTCTGCCACGCATGATCTCACAATTTTCTTTTCTAGTTGTTTGTTTCTTTTACGCTAAATTATGACATATCACCATTATTGGAAATATAATTCTTGTACACAATTCATGATTTTTTATAGATATAGTTCACTGAAAATAAGCTTTTTTTTAA